GATGCGGGACTCGATCCCGGGACTCCAGGATCATGACCTGAGCCGAAGGCAGTCGCTTAACCAACTGAGCCACCCAGGCGCCCCTTCAAAAGGATTTTTGCAAATAAAGGTAAAGGCTACATAATAGCCAAACTGTGTTATCATATGGTCAACTATTTCCGACTATGTTACTTTTATAGTTGCAAATAATTTACTATGAATGTGGAAAGAGACACCAAGAAAGTCGAGGTGATGCGTGGAGAGGCTCTGTGGGAAAGCACACAGCCCCAGCATCAATTGGCTCCCAGTGTCTCCTAAGGCAGGAAGGCAGCTGTTGACATCCTCAGAACACAGAGGTTTTGATGGACTGTAAATCTGTGCCTAGAGCCCTAACAGGGGAGGTCAGGCGGAATCATAACTTCTTAACATAGCACTTTTGCTCCCCAGGGCCCCACGAGGCTGCAGAGCTGCCAGACCAGCTCCCTGTGCCCAGAGTTCTTCCCATGAGGGGGAGGTGGCTCAGATGTGTGCGGCCAAGGGGGCAGTGACCTGTGGGTGGTGGGCAGAATGGGATGGGCACCCGCTGAAAAGGCCAGTCCCTGACACCTGCCGGTCTTGGGACATGACCCCTAGCACACTGTGCCTTCTCCAGAGGCTCCCCCTGCCTGGGGTTTGGAGGCCATGTGGCATCCGAGGTTGCCTTCCCCCTCCTCAGCATGCTCCTGAGAAGATCGCAAGGTGTGTTACTTATACCTTATTTTTCTTTTCCTTCAGAATATTGACATTACAAACTTCAGCAGCAGCTGGAATGACGGACTGGCCTTCTGCGCTCTCCTGCATACGTACCTTCCGGCCCACATTCCGTATCAAGAGCTGAACAGCCAAGATAAGGTAGGCTGGCTGTGAAACAGCCCAGCTCCTGGCGTCCTTACCACACAGGGGAGACAGAGCCTTCCAGCAGCAGGGCCCCCACCACGGTGCTGGCTCACAGCGGCCCCATCCCAGCTTGGTCTTATTCTGGGATTGAGCTGTTAGTGCTGAGCCAGCCAGTCCCTGACCTGCCTTGTGTGGGACATTTGGTGGGTTCAGCATTCCCCAAGTTACAGCATTCCCGGTGGGAGCGCTCAGCCTTCCTGGGTGATGACATTTAGGATCACGAGCTTTATACCCTTGAGAGCCGCTCAAGGCATGAGTGGTCTGGGCAGTGCTTCCCATGCCAGGCCAGTCCTCTGCCAGCCCCGTGTGGTCCAGCCATCCCACTCACGGAGCTGCTTGGGGACAGCCCCTGTCCAGATGGGCACTGGCAGAGGTCCCCGGCATGAGCCCCCTTCTGGTTCCCTCCTGCCCTCAGATAACGCTTGAAATTCCTCCCGGGGGAGTAGCTCACTTGACAAGTGTTTCTGATCGGCTTTTGGGGTCCGGGTCCAGGCGGCTCAGGACTGATGTGTTGAAAGTGGCCCTTTTGCACAGTGAGGAAGGAATGAGCGTGTGGAGATTGCTCCACGGACGGTCACGAGAGGAGCAGCTGGGCCCTGCAGAGGGGCAGTCAAGGTTGGTGGGGGCTCCGAGGGCTCCAGCGTAGGTTTGTTCTGGTCCCAAGTGGAGGTGGCTGTCCGTCTTCCCCAGCATCGTGAGTAGTGCAGGCCGCCTTCTTCCTGGCCTTGCTTGTCCATTCCAGTCACACAGTTTGTTTTACAGCGAAGGAACTTCACCCTGGCCTTCCAGGCGGCCGAGAGCGTTGGCATCAAATCCACACTGGTGAGTCACTGGCAGGGCCCCTCCTTTTTGTTCGGAAGAGTTTCCTTCTCATTAAGGGAGATCTGGGTGGTGTGGTGGCCTGATGAGCAGGGGGCTAGTGGGTGGGGCTGGGGGGCCACCCTGGCCACCCGAGCGAGTGTCCCGTCAGGGGTGCAGGCAGGGTTTCACCTCAGTCCCATGGGCACTTTATGCCTCACGTGAATTGTCTTGAGGGAGCGGTCTGAGGTGGGTAGAGTCATCCTGACCACAGCCCGGCAACTTTGACTTCCTCAGAGTCACCTTTTCTAGTTGAATCCCTGGGTTCAGAAGAAAAAATACTAACAAGTTTATAGCAAGTCACTGTCAGAGGCATATTCCTGCAGGTCTCTCTGCCTTTTGTCAAACTAGAGGGAGAGGGGAGGCGATGCAAGGCAAAGAAGGAGGCTTTAGAGGCTGAGCAGGCGCTCCCGCGCTTCAGGGGCCGTGGCAAATGCCACTCATGGGGGGTGGGGGGCATGAGTTGTAGCAAACCCTCGCGTTTCAGGGTCGTCAGGCCGCTGCCCGGCACCCACAGTAGCTCCCAACAGCTGTGCTTCCATCAGAGCTCTTGCCCCGTCACCACGTCTGACTTTCTGAAGAAGATACTGCGTCCAGATGCAAAGCCAGGCCTTCCATACCCAGCGACACTTAGATTATATAAACTCGGGACCGCAGCGGTGGTGTCATCCAGCGACACACGGCGGCCAGTGCGCAGCTCGGGGAGTTCCGCAGAGTAAGAGCCCCGTGAGGCCAGGTCACTGCCCCAAGGGCATCCCTCGCCCTGACTGGTAACAGCTGGGTGGCTTTGAAGAAGTGTTTACATTCATATTTACCCCAACAGGAGTGTTTGTGTAGAGTTCCAGAAGTGGATCTTCTGACTTGATAGAAATAGGCTTGTTTAGGGTGGCCTCTATTCAGTTGTACAGAGAGAAAGAGAAGTTACCATTATTGAAATGTTTTCTCTTATCCTGGTATTTTACATCACATGTAAAGTTCCAACATATAAAAAGTGGGCCATTTCCACCCCTCCAAAAAAAAAAACTTTATATTGATCAAGATCTTATATTGAACAAACATGTTTTCTTTTTTCTGTACCAAGTCACCAATGGGTGGCCCGTTCCATCCTGCTGGCCATGGCCTCACCTATGGAACCTCCCAGAGCAGTGCTCTGGAGCGAGGCTCCCCTGGAAAGTGACGGATGTTCTTCAGCAACAGTGGGTCTCTTCTGGGGGCCTCCCAGTCCCGTATCCAAGTCCTGGGTTTCCCACGTTCGTTTTCATCAGCTGGCATCTCACAGATGACTGGTATTCTGCAGGGTACAATTAGAAAACAGTGTCTTTGATGCTTTCAGATGGTTGCCATGGTGAAGGGCACTGGAAAGTTGAGTTCTGGGAGCCCTGGGCACACACAGACTCTCCTAGGACAGAGACTAGGGTGAGAAGTGCTCTCAGAAGCGAGCACATGGAGCGGTTTAAGAAAAGAAGCAGACAGGGATTGAGGCCCCAAAGACGAAAGCCAGCCTCAGAGGGCCGTGGCCAGGAGCAGGGGCGCCCCGGTATGCGGCTCTGGGGCAGGGCTCGGGCACAGACGGGCAGCTCAGGGACCATGCGGACGCTTCCAGGCACACTCGGCAGCGAGGGAGCAGGCATCCCAGCCAGGCCTTCGGCGGGTGTGATCAGGCTTGGCCCAAAGTCAGAGGCCCCGCCCCGTGCAAGAGCCCGTGTAGCTGTCGGGGAGCCTGTCGGGATGGGCCCAGGGGTGACCCGGGGTTCTAACCAGGTTTCTTCCTTCTCCGCCAGGACATTAATGAGATGGTGCGGACTGAGCGGCCTGATTGGCAGAGCGTGATGCTCTACGTGACCGCAATCTACAAGTACTTCGAAACCTGAGCACACCGGAAGGACTCTCCCCGTTACCAAGTGATACCAACGCCATTAGCTACGCACCCCGTAAAGCTTTCAACAACTCTCTGGGCCGCCCCGCAGCGTGTGAGCCTTCAGCCGGGGCTTCTGAGTCAGGAGAACTCGGGCCTCCGTGGCCCCCGGCTCGCGGCCGGCTCCGCGCACACGACCCGTCCGGCCAAGGTCGGCGTGGGCTCCATGCACGGCGCACACGCTGTTTGCTGCCAGAGTTTTTTCTGAAGAGAATATTGAACTGCATTAGTGCCGTGGGGTGTAAAAACCAGCTCATGCGCAGCTCAAGTCGGGGAAGGGGCTGAAACTCTGGGGGCAGCTGATGGGGGGTTAGTGAAAGCTTTAGCCACAGCGCTTCTTGACTACTCGCCGGTGCGGCTTCTGGCACCCGTGAGAACCAGGCCGGGGACTCGGTGCCTGACAGAGGTGCCTGGAGAGCAGGCTGCGGCCCTGGACGTGGAGGGCCACGGAGTGCATCACCATGGCAGTGGGGCGGCCACTGATTGCACGTGGCAGGGCTGTCCTGGCCCGCGTGATTTAGGTGTTTACAACTTGAGCTAACAGATGATCGTGACTCGAGGTCCCAGCTGGTGGCGCCCGCAGCTGCTGAAGGGTTGGTTTTGCGCCTGGGCCCCCGTCGAGCAGAGGCGGCCCCCTGGCCTCGCCGCTGCCAACCTGTCCTTTAGCCTGGAAGGGGCTTGGGAACCCAGCTCTGACTTTAGGTTTCTGGACAAAAGAATTGGTCAAAAGGAGTTCTAGTTAAAAAAAATTTTTTTTCCTTAAGAGCAATATTGGGGGAAGATACCTCCTGTTGTGTTAGTACCAAAGTTAAATTGTCTTAGTAAACATAGAGATAAAACACAAAATCTGGACGCGAGCATGGTGAAAGCCAGAAATGAAGTCAGAAGTAGCAGGAGAAAAAGCCGAACAGCTGGAGGGAGCCCAGCCGGGTAATTTAAAGTCACTGAGTCACTCAGACAAAATCCTCCTGGGCAAGAATTTAAGGAAGTGCCTTCAGTCTCCTTGCACGGGTACACCGGATAGAGGGTCTTGGAGGCTGCCGTGACCACAGCCAGAGCAGATGGTGTCAGGGCTGGTGGCCTGCAGCCCCGTGATGGAGTTGGTCCCTTGCCACGCACGCCAAGTGACAGGCAGCCGCACCAGCACCCCTTCCGTGCGGTGGAATCGAAGCCTTATGAGGGGTTCTGTTGAGGCGACTCTCAGGCTGGGACCCAGCCCTTCTTGGGAACAGGGATCCCACGTCTCATGCGCCTAAGACAATAGCTGTTGGTTTAAACAGTGTCGAGACCTGTTGCTTCTAGAATACAACTGTGTTTGGTGCCTGCAAAGTAGCACGAGGAAGAGTTGCCACCAGTGGGAGCAGGATTGCTGCCCCAGCCACAGGATGCGAAGAAGGCTGCCCAGCCAGCACGTGGGCCCGGGGGTTCTGCGTTCATGCGTGATGTTCTAGACTAGGAGTATGACGTGTCTGTAGCCTAGGAAAGAACGTGGTTATTGTGCAGTGGGCTGTGTGTGTGTGTGTGTGTGTGTGTGTGGCCTGCTGGCCCATGGTCACCAGCTGGCTGGTAAGTGCCCGTCAACCCTGCCCAGATGCCCCAACTGGAGGCTTTTTGTGAAATGCCTGTTTTCAGCTAAGGGTGAGGCTCAGTGAGCAGAATCCAGCCCCAGAGCGCACCGGAAGACCCTGGCGGATACCTGTCCCCATCCTCCCTGACCAGGTTCCATTCTGGCTTCTGTTGTTCTGTTGATAGGTGCCCTGTGCTGTCAGATGAGGGACTGTTAGGTGAGAATTATGCTTTTTTAAATGTCTCTCCACTCGGTCTTCCTGAGTCCCACTTTCGCTCTCATTTGCCCTCATGGAAGCCTGTGCTCTTGTCTGGACCCAGTGTGTCTGACTGTGGCCATGTTTTTATTTATTATCGTTGGGGGGTGCTTTTTTGTCCAATGAAGACTTTCCTGGGTCGGCAGTTCACACATTGGTCCCTTCCTAGCCAAGTGAGCCAGCCGTGGCAGCTCATGCTGGGGGGCCTGGGGCTGTGCCCACAAGGCTGCCACTGGGGTCAGTGACTGGAAAGGGTGGCCGCGGGAAGTGCCGGGACCAGGCCCAGCCTGTTTAAGGGCCCATCTCTGCCTCCCTGACAGAGGCTGTGCAGGGGTGCCCAGCCGGGCCGCCTACATTTGCACGTGGGTCCACAGGCGAGAAGATTCTAGAAGCATGACTTTTCTTTTTCTAATAGGATCTTTTTATAACACTGTTGGCTTTATGGGATAATTCTAGGTGGTCATATATACCTAAAAGTGCTACTGTGAGGTGCTTTTGGTCCAGTGACCCTTGACGTGAAGCCTCCAGGAAGTCATTTTGCCTCTTCTCCCTTCAAGCACAAGCTTTCCTGCAAAAGGGCCAGTTACATTTCTGTATCTCTCAACCACGGGCTTCTGCTGACTGACAGTACTTTTTTAAAAATTTTGTTCTATTAAATATTCTCGAATGTATTAAAATTGCTGAAATGCATCAGGCTTGGGCTTTTCTAGCTTGACACTTCAGCTGCTCCCCTGACGTGGTGTGAACAGGGCCCTGGCCGCCCCCCCGGGACTGGCTGTGGCAGGAGGAAGGCTCCTGAGCCCAGGCTCCATCCCCTCTGGCTGCCCCTCCCCTACAGCTCACAGGCCAGGAAATGTTTTGGGGGGAGGACCTGGGGAGGGGCGGGTGCTGGGGTCTGCCAGGTCCCACCCTGGGCTGCAGAGCAGAGCTACGGGCCAGATGCCCAGGCCTGAGACCCCAGAAGCCCTGCCCAAGTTACCCTACAAGAACGGAAGCCCTGGCATTCCCCAGTGGTAGCCCAGACACGTGCTGTGGGGAACGGAGTGGTGGGGAGGGGGTGCCTTGAGGGTTGTTTTTTTTTTTTTTTTCCTCCCTAGCAGTGCATCTTCTTGGAGATCATTTTCAGAATATATAAAATTAGAGGGAAAAGAATCGGTAATTATACCACTCAGAGCATGCAAACCAGTCAAGCCTTTTTTTCCCTGCGCATCTTGTGTGGGATGATTATGAATCCACGGAGCGCAGCCCAGGACAACACTGGGGCTCGTCACACTGCGCGTGCTACGTGTCCCACGTGGAAGGGCCTGTGGGACCACCCCCTGACACACTGAGTGACCTAGGGGGCCTTTCCTGGGCCCAAGACCCCCCTCCCAGGGCCGGCGTCCAGCCAGTAAGTGAGCTCACAGCTGGGGAGCCCCAGAGCCCATGGCCTGAGTTGAGGTGTGGCCTGTTGAGTGCCGACAACCACGGGTGTCCACCGTGGCCCGGCTTCCAGAACGCAGCACCCGAGTCCTTGGGGTACAGAGCTGGGCAGGGCAAAGACTGCGCTGGGACTGGGGCTGCTTCCGGCTTCTCCCCACTTGCCAGCTGTGGGGCCTGGGGTGCTCGCTTAGACACGGTGGGAGCTCCTGCCCTTTGCCGGAGTGTAAGGCGGTCGCTCGGCTGGGAACAGCAAGAGGCCTCTGCGACCAGCATGTTGGGCTCTGTGTGCAGTGCGCACCAGTCACAGTGGCAGGAGGGGTGACCCGCCCCCCAGGACCCCTGGGCAGCAGGGACAGAACGGGCTGTCTAAGCTGCTGCCCCTCAGGTGTGGAGTCTGCCCTCCCCAAAATATCCCTCCCGCCTGCCTGTCATGCCCGCTGCCTCTGGAGCTGACTGAGGCCGGCCATGGGGAGTCCTGTGTAGCCTGACTTCCTAACCCGCTCACAGCCTGGTGGCTCCCAGTGGGGCCAGCCAGGGGCTCTGCTTTCCTAGACACAGTGCTTGCTCTTCTGTCCCAGGACAGCACGTCTGGGGAGGGAACTGTTACCACCTTGAGTTAGGGAAGGTTCTAGAACCTCTTTTGGGGAGGGGGGTGGTTTGATGGGTGGAAGCAAGGAAAAGATCTCACAACCCCCTATCCACAGTCTCGCAGGGCTGGGGTCCTAGACTTTGGGGGGCCATGCCCTGGTGACACAGTGGCCAGCTCTTTGGCCCTATCCTTGCAGGGCTGCGCTTCCCACACCCTTGGTCTGGCCTGAGTTCTGTTTCAGGTTGTCCTTTAAATGGAAGGCAGGGCGGATAGAGGGGGTCTTGTGCTCTGCACCGGGTAGATGAGGAGTGGATTCTGGTCAGGGCCAGGCTGTGGGGAAAGCAGGAGCTCAGCCTACCAGGTCAGGGCTTCGCTGGGCCGCACCTAGTGCATCTGTGCGGGAGGCAGGGTGGGGGCCTGGGAGGACAGGGCTCCACAGTCCCTGGGCCTGGCTCATACTGTAGGAGGGCGGGCTGAGGGTAGCGGTAGGCCTGGGAGCTGGGGGGCTGGGAGGGCGGGTCAGAGGGGTGGAGAGTGACGGGGCACAGCCTGCCATCTCTGCCACCAGATCCGAGCCAGACCCAGAGCAAGGAAAGGCCCCAAGAGTCCCTGGAGGATGTCTTCATTATTGAGTGTGTGTGAGTCCCGGGTTCTTAGAAGGGGGTCACAGTCCTAGGAGGAGGGCTGGGGAAGAGCACAGGACAGGCAGGTCACCAGGACCCACTGGGCAGGAGGCAGGTTGCACCGAGTGGGGGTTGGGGTTACCCGGGTGCCCCCCACTCCCAGGTCTGGCACCAGCTTGTGACAGGCTGGGGCTCTTCCCACCTCTGCAATCTGATGACCCCCCCCCCCCGCTGACCCCAGAGAGGCCCCTGCGGTCCCTCCTACCAGATACCCTGCTCTTTGCAAAGTGGGGTAGGGAAGTGCCTGGCAGGGCATGGGGATAGGGGTGCAGGGAGGGTGGGGAGAAGGCAGCTGGCTTGATGTTCTGGCTGCTCCTGCGTGCCAGTGCCTGCGCTCCTGGCTTGGAGCCATTCTTCGGGTGGTGAGTGACAGGCCCTGGCATGCGTGTGGTCCCTGTCCGCCCTGTAGCCCAGGAGGAGGTCCCTGTCCTGTCAGGATCTCAGCTCCCACATCTGCACACGTGTGCCCAGATCAGCTCAGAGGTGCAGAGTACCTAGTGGGGTTGCTGTCTGACACCCGGAAGCCAGTGTGGGCTGGAGCATCTTTCTGGGGCCTGGGCTGGGGGGTCAGGGCCCTGCTCTTGTGGCTGCCGCGCCTACAGATGGTTTGGGGAGCTTCCTCTGGCATGATTCTTCTTGGGGCCTGCTTTAGTCTAAGCAAGAGGTCCCCCACTTCCTCAATTCCAGAGCCCCAGGAAGTGTGCAGTGCCCCTCCCATTTGAAGAAGTTGGTGAGTACCTCAGGGTGGCCTGGTTGGTTCGCAGGGACACTGGCCCCAGCACCCACCGGGTGCTTTGTCCTGGGTCTGCCATTGCTTTCCCCCTGATGTGGCCCAGCTGGCCCCAGAGCAAACAATCAGGGTCCAGAGGCCACCCAGGTGCATCCTGGACAGGAACAAAGCCGGCTGGGTGGGGGGTGGGGGTGGTCTTGAGACCAGAAATCTGAGCAAGAGAAAGCCCAGCTGGCCCCCCTGAGGGGCCTGGGCTCGGACGGAAGGAAGGGCGGGCACCCGTAGCCTTCAAAGCCTGACCTGGGGCTGGGCAGGGGCACCGAGGCCCAGAGGTAGAAAGCGGGGCCTGCCAGGGGCATCTCCATGCCTGAGGATCAGCAGGCCTGCGCCCCCCGCCTTGGAGCTCCGTCGGGCCCGCACAGGGGCCTCCCCTCTGGCCAAGACACCTGAGGAGTGCTCTTCAGGCTGAGGGCACAGCACCGGTGAGGGGGCAACAAGGCCAACACGGTGCTGGTGCCAGGAGCACAGGGGTGGGGGGGCCCTAGTGCGGGAAGGCCGGGAGATGGGGGTCAGCCACGAGCGCGTCCGCTCGGTGCGGGGAAGCAGGGTTTGTGAACAGCCCTCCCCCGTGCCTGCTTTCTGTCGCTGCCGAGCTGGACAGGCCCGGGTGTGTGCTGTCTAGGCAATGGCTTCACCGGAGACCTGGACAGAAGCACACGGCAGGTGACACGGGGCCACTGGAGCAGCTCCCTCTGCCTCTAACTGGCTGGGGAAGGACTGCCCCAGAGCGAGGCTGGGGGCCTGGCGGTGCTTCCAGTGTGGGCAGCTCCCAGGGGCCCCGAGGAGCTGGCTCTGGGGTCGAACCAACCCCGGCCTGACCGCCTGTGGCCTGGGGTGCCCACGCCGAGGAGCTGGGGGCTGCCTGAGGACCAGCTGTAGGAACGAAGCCCTCAGTCCCCAGGCGTGGGGCCCGTCTGGCGGGGAGACGGGTGTGTGCATGGCCAGTCACACGTGGGGAGGTCTGAGTGGGGAAGGTGCTGGGCCCCAGAATGGAAATGGCAGGGGCCCATGCTAGGGGCTGGCGGGACAAGAGTGGACTCACCCCCACGCCCCCAGGGTGGCTGAGTGTTGGTCTCTGCCCCATGAAACCCCACAGTCCCTTCCCCTTCTAGGCCCCAGGTGACTCAAGACAAGCTGTTCCTTGCGTGTTTGTTGAGTGAGGACTTGAATGAATAGGGGCCCGACAGGTGTGGGCAGCAGGGTCTTATCTCCACTATAGGAGTAGCTTATCCCATGAGATGGCACAGAAGCAAGGGCGTGGGGGAGGATCCCCTGGCCAGGCAGCGCCCCCAGCTGGTACCTCATCGCCTGCCTCCGGCTCAGGAGGTGGCAGGGCAGAAACAACACAGTTCCATTTTACAGGTGAGGCAACGGGAACCTCAAGGCTGCAGGAAAAACACAGTAGCAGTGCAGCCCCTGGGGGCAGTCCCAGGGGCAGTGTCCCTGCCTGGTGGGGGGGGGGGCTCCTTCCTTTGGTCCCCCATTGCCCCTCACAGGAGGTAAGTGGGAAGGGGGCTGGGGCTACAAAGGCCTACACTGGGGGATGGGGGGCCAAGGTGGGTAAGGGCCAGGCTGGAGGTTGGAAAGGCATCCAGGGACTGTTCCCAATTTGAAAAATCTCGCATGTGCCTCACCAACACCTGGAGTTGTGTTGGGGTTCTGACCCCTCCCAACCCACCCTCCTCCACCCCCCATGGCCTATCCTAATACTGGATATTAGGGAAAACAGGAACCTGGGGACCTGCGCCGGCTGAATGGGGACAGGAGCTCAGGCTCAGGAAAGAGCTGGAAGAGGCTGCCAGGCAATGGAGGCTGGCTGAATCCAGGCAAGTGATGGGCACAGCCTCAGACTCTAGTTCCTCAGCTGAGCCTGGGCTCCCACCACCTACTGGCGCTCTCCCCCTGTAGGAGACACCGTGCTCCTACGGGGGGCCTCAGCTCTAGGGTCCGGTCGGACCCTGCACAAGCCCCTCTCCTGGGCTTCTCACCATGACCCAGCCGGCCCCCAGAGGTTCAAGAATGCAAGGGTTCCCATGAGCCCTTGGCCACCAATGCCCTGGCCTCTGGCTGTCTGATACAGTTCCTCCTGCTGTGCACCAAATTGGGGTTACCCCGGCTGTGCTGATGCAAGGGTAGAAGGCACGTCCCCTTGGATGGATTCCCAGCCCAAGAGTCTAAGATTCAAGGTTAGTGCGTTTGCTCAGAGAAGTGGAGGTGGGGGACAGGTCCCAACTGGGCCCCAGAGGCTGTAAGAACAGAAGGGGCCCTGGCCCAGAGTCTGTGCTGGGGCAGTCAGAGGGGCCACTGGAAATTGGGGTGGGCTTCCTAGAGGCATCCTTTGAGCTGAGGTTACCCCCCACCCCAAGCCCCCCTCCCCCCAACCTGGAGCAGGGCTCAGGAAGGGAGTGCAAAGCCAGAGACCAGGCAGAGCCTGGTGGCTGAAGGCCTTGAGTGCCTAGGGAAGGAGGCTGGGTCTTAGCCTTCAGGAACAGTGCAGCCATGGAAGGACTTGAGGAGGAGGTGGCTCCTGGGCACTTCCCAGATCACAGCTGGACACTGGGGACGGATGACAAAGGCAGGCGCTGACCCAACTCAGCTACAACGATAAGGGATAGAGCAGAGCCCCGGGAGGACCAGAGCTGCAGGGGCAGCCCTGCAGTCTTCTTGGAGGAAAGGGAGTGCGGGCCAAGGGCCGGGTGGACTTCCCCGGGCGGGGAGGAGAACTCGGGCCGGGCCACTCGTCCAAGGGGAGCGGGTGTGGCGCTGAAGGTGGTCAGACGGACACGAGCCAGGAAGAACCCCCTGGGGAGCCGCGGGGAGGGATGTGGCGCGGTCCAGCTCGTCGTGGCCTCGTCCTACCGCGAGCATCGGCCAGGCTCGCAGGCCGGCTGCTCCGATCCCAGGGCGCACTCAGGGACTCGGTTTCCCCGCGCGGCGGGTTGGGGCGGGGACAGTGCGAGTCTCGAAGCCGCCTGCAGGGGGCGCCCGTGAGCGCCGCGGCCGGAGCCCGAGCCCGAGCCGCCGCGGAGACAGCGGGAGCCGGCGCGCGAGCGGCAGGTCAGCCGGGGTCTCCGGTCCGGGGTCCCGAGGGTCCCTGGCGGGCGGCCGGGCGGCATGGGGCCGTCGGAGGCTGAGGGGCCGGGAGGGACTGGTGCCTCGGGACCCCTCCAGGGCACCCGACCGTCCCGACCTTCTCTTCCCGCCACCCCGAGAGCGAGTTCACAGGGCTGGGGTCCGAGCTCTGCCCCGAGGCGGGGACCGGAATGGCGGGCGGGTGCAGGGGCGGCTCAGGCGCGGGCGCACGTCCTAAGCACGGTCGGGGGGCGGTGTGCGGACCCTCCGGGCCGCCCCAAACTGGACCGGAAGGTGCGCACGGGTAGGCGGGGAGGGGAGGGGGCGCGAGAGCCCGACGGCCCGGGCGGCGGAGGTTGGGGGGGCAGGCGTCTGGACCCACAGGTGACGTGCGGGGAACGTCCGTCGGTCCGTCTAGGCGCCACGGGCCGACCCCAGGGCACTCGGCGAACCTTCCGGACGCGCCCGGCGGGGGTGGGCTGGGGGCGCAGAGGTGCGGCCGAGGGAGGGCGGGTCGGACCCCCGGGGTGGGGGGGCGAGAGAGGGCTTCCGCAGGTGGAGCAGCCCGGGGCGGGGACCGCATTCCGGGGGAGGAACGGCGGCGAGGGCAGACGCTCGGCATCCCGAACGCCTGGGGCGCGGCGAGAAGGGGAGTCGGGAACGCTGGGCCAGGGCGGGAGCGTTCCGGGGACAGTGGTGGCGGGACCCGGACTTAGGGGACCCAGGGGAGTCCGGAGGCCGGGCAGGGTGGGTGCACGCCTCGGAGTGGGCTTGGCCGTCTGCCGGGCTGCCCTGAGCGGAGGTAGGAATGGCGGGAATGGTGGCGGCCCTCGAGGGATTTGACGCAGGACGGCCCAAAGGATCAAGGAGGGGGCCGCGGGGCCGCGGAGCGGAGACCTCTGCGTTCCCGGCACCGCCATGCCGCTTTAGACTTTAATTTTCCCAACTGTAAAATAGGAGGACGGTGGAGGCCAAGGCGGAGGCCGAGGGATCTGTGGCGGGAGGAGAAGCGGGAGGGCAGGTCTCCCCGTCCCCCATTCCCTAGGACCGGAGTTGCGGTTGGCCCCTGGGGGAGGATTAGGCTGCCCCTTTGTCCCGCTCTCCCTCACCATAGCAGGGAGCACCCAGGCCCGTTTCCACCCACAGGGCCAGTGCTCGCCTCTCGCCCAGGACTCAGGCTGCCCTCCCTTTGGCCTCTGCTGTCCAGCCAGCCTCTGCACCCTCCAGAACACTCTCTGTGTTACCTCCATGCCCCTGGTTGTCCCCACCCCCCACCGTGGGGACCATGATGGGGAGCTCTTTGGAGTGCAGCGGGCCAGGGACGATGTTGTGGGGTCAGGGACTCCCTCTTCAGTCCTGCTGTGGCTGGTCCTGGAGGCATTGGCTGGGCTGGCACGGCCCTGCCCTGTGGGCCAGCTCTCCATCTCGGGTCTCAGCAGGTCCATGACAGGAGCTCCTCACCGAGGCCTGTCCACAGGTAGTGGTGTCAACACCTCTTTGCTCTGTCCTTGCCCTTTAGGGTTTCCCTGGCTCTCCCAGGTTCTAGTGTCCCTTGGGCCACTGCCCCTCCATCCTAATCCCCTCAGTGTAGACCAGGTTCTGGGCTAAGCCAGCTTCCGTGTTGATAACCTCAGAGAAGCTGAGGGCAGCCCAGATATGGATGGCAGGTGAGAGGCTTTGGGCCAGGTCAGTCCTGGCCAACCTTTGGGGGCTTGCGTGTTGCCCTCCCTCATGTTGGGTTTGTGAGGTGCAGGCCCCCAACCACACCGTGGTCCTGCCTCCTAGGAGCCCACAGCCCAAGAGAGCAATGGCGGGCTTCAAGGGCAGCCCAATGGACGGCCGATTTCGATGCCCAAACCTGGGTTCTGGTCTTGCCTCCTTGGCGCACTCGCTGTCTTATCTGTAAAACAAGTGTGATGGAAAGAACAACGCTCGACGTACAGGGTTGTGATGGAGAGTAAATGAGAGATGGGCATCAAAGGGGCAGGTCAGAACCAGAGGACGGGTTGGGGTCTGTGCTTGAGCTGGGGAACCCCAGAGGGAGGCTGTTGGCCCTGTGCGGAGGGGGGCACACCACAGGGGATCACAGAGGGACATGTGGCCTGGAGTTGGCTTGGCGGCAAGCACTTGGCTTCAGGGCATCAGACCCTGCAACATTTAACTTGTTTCATTCCTGAGCTACCTTACCCCGATGGGCTGCAATTGCCAGCTCAACCATCTTGTGGCGTTTGTCTCGTCTGCCACAATTCAGACTGGGTGCTGAAAGATGTGCACAAGGGAGGCTAAGGGGAAGATGACCAGAGGGCAGGCCACGGCATGAAGTATGGGGTTTTGGGGTGTGTGTCAGGGGCTGCTGAGGAGACACCGGGAGTCAGGTGCTGAGCAGGTAAAAGGAACAAGTCCCAACTCCTGGGGAAAGGGTCTGGACCCAAGAAGCATCAGCAGTCACAGAAGGGAGGGGTTGTTACTTCATGGTCAGGAGGCAATGGTTGGCGTGCGGTGCCTGAGGGCGGTATCCCGGAGGTCTGTGCTGGGCCCAGATGGGGGGAGAGAAGTGGGAAATGGGCAGGAGCTTGGAGCTGGGATGCAAAGAGGAGGCCCCCAGAAGACTGCTCACCCGTACGAAGGGGCAGGTTAGTGGCAAAGGTCCCTCAGCCCCTGCCTACAGAATCGCGAAAAGGGCCCCAGCAGTGTGGGGTCCACGGGATGCTGCAGGGGAGGGGAAGGTCTGGATGGAGGGGAAGAGCAGCTGTCTCTCACTCCAGCCTGGGTGGGTGGGGGGTGGGAGGTACACAGGGAAGACAGGGTGCTCCAGCTTTCCAGGCCCCCTTCCCCAGGCATTCTCTGACAGGCCTCTGAGCCTCATACAGGCTGTTGTATTTGCCTGGAGTCTACCCCCTCCCTCCCCTCATTTCCCTGTCGTCCAAGTCCCGCCCAAGCGGCCCCTCCTCTGGGAAACCATCCAGACTGTTTTGGGCCCAGACCCCCTTCTGCAGGACACGCGTGTCTCCGAAGATGCTGGGCAGGGGCTGGCGCTGTCTTTCTGCGGCTCCCCCTTCTGCCACTGCTGCCAGGTACAGGGGGCCGCTGAGTTAACAAGGAGAGTGGCGGAGCCGCGTGGCGTCCGGTGCAGCCCATGGGCCGTGCTGCTCTTGCTGGCTAACGCTCTCACCCTCTCCCTTCAGCCTCCAGGGCTGCGTCATCACACCTTCGTCCCAGGGACCCCAGGAAGGGGGTCTGCCTCCCTCCCATCCTCAGTGGGGCCACCGTCTAAGGAGCTCCTGCCTCCAACAGACCAGCCTTCTGCCAGGGCCCCACCCAGACCCACTAGGGCCATCTAGGACCCCCCCCCCGTGTCCCCTTCAGGCATCATAGTGCCTGTCATCCCACCATTAGAGGGTTCATTTGAGGGAGGTGTGGGTGCCAAGCACATCCTAGGGTGCCGTCTCACCGGAGCCTCGGTGCAAAGGGGAAGACTCTTGCTCAGGATCTCAGGGAGTGTGGGATGGAGCAGGAGTGGGAGCCCACCTGAGCTCCTTCCACCACAGAATGGGCATCCAGCACCTTGTGTGTGGGGTGACCTCTTGGAGGGGGGCCTGTCAGAGAGGTGGCCAGTGAGGGGGTGAACGGAGACCTCCGGCTGGGAGGATGCAGATTCTCCCCGTATCTGGCCTGGTTGTGTGGGGATGGGAGAGGGTCTCTGGGCCCCCCTGTGGGGAGAAAGGAGCTGGGGCAGGCCCTGTGGCCCCAGAAGCTGATGATGTGGAGGCTGCTCGAGGGGCCAGATTCAGCACGGGGAGCTGGCTCTCCACCCCACCAGTTCCTGCCCACATCCTGCCCCTGGGGCTGAGAACGGCAGCCTCCAGAGGGGCGGTGGGGGAGGGGGGGACCACTGGATGTCTGCCTGGTACTTTGGGCCAGCCTGCACCATGGTCCTGAAGTTGTCCTGCAGGGAGGGAAGGAGAGAGGACAGGGGCCCCAGTGCTCCGCGGTTGCTCACCTCCAGGCAGCACAGGAAGACACTTGCCCCACTCCAACTGATGGGTTTGGAGAGGGGCTTGGTAGGTCCCAGGGCCCCTGGGGTTTTGGGAGGCGTGTGCCCAGGCCCGGGCCGCTCCAAAGACCAGTCACGGCAGAGCCAGCGGCGGCGGGCTTGTGGCTGAGAGCCGGAGCAGAGCTGCCCATCCCGCTGTTTCTTCTTTGCCTGTTGCCCTCTCCACGCTGACTGAGCTCCCATGAGACAGGTGTGGGTACTTCTCCGTCTACCTTCCTCGCCCCTCAACCGTATCTCCTCATGGGCTTTGTGTCTTTGGGAAGTTGCTGTGATAATTCCTCAGTGCTGATAATTGCCCAGATCCCCAGTTGTCTCCCAACTGGGTGCACGCCCGAAGCGCAGCATGTGGATTGTGTTCTCTGCCTCAGTCCCTTTATTTTTCATTTTGGGGACTTTTTATTATCTCTTGTTCATGTTCATCTGTTCTTGTTTCATTTCTGCCAGTCGAGTCATAAGTTCTCATTCTTGCTTGTGGATGCTACTCCTTTTTTCATTTCTTTAAAGATCCTAAATGTCTTTGAAAAGCATTATTAGATTATTACCTTCCTCTCTTTCCGAATGAATGAATCTCCATATTTGGGGTGCTGTTGCTTATCTGTCTTGAGTTTTTCTCCTGTGCTTCGAAATTGTGGTTTGCAGGCTCATCTTCAGTGGGAACTGAGGCCCTGGAGGCGGGGAGTCACCGCACACTAGGGTAGCAGCTGGCTCTCAGTAGCCTCCTGGGACAAGTCCTCCTTCAAGGTCCCGCGCTGTAGGCTCAGGACCCTTCTGGGGCCAGGCTCAGCAGCATGTGGTACAGAGCTCCCTGTGATCCCGCAGCTGGGATGCTGCTTGGCACAGAGTTGGCACTGGTGGAACGTTTGCTATGAGAAAGTAACGGGAGAGTCTCAGGCCAGGATTCTGGAGCCCAGGACTGGGCCAAGCATGGTTATTCCAGGTCCGAGTCCCTACAATGGGCCTGGTATATTGCCCTGTGCAGCACCTAGGAGCAGAGGTACAGGGTCCTACCTGGAAGCTAGCAGGCACCTCTGTCCAGCAGACTCGGGGGGGTACAGCCACCATCTGGGCATGTGTACAGAAAGCCTTGCTAGTGTGACTTAAAAGGAGCCAGAAGTGGGCCAGGAAATATGTGGGTTTTGATTAAATGGAGTTTTAAATAAAGTGGCCAGGTCAGTGGGGGTGAGGAGGAAGGCCAGAAGAAGCAGCAGTTTTGAATCTGACTGCTGGGAATCCTACAGGGTTGTCCTTTCAAGGCTCATCGTGCACGTTCCCCAGCACGAGTCTCTAGTTTTTATGGGACAGCTTCTGCCCTCTGCCCTGTTCCCAACAAGGGATAATCAGAGGGAAATATTACATTATTAACATTTAATTTCCTTTCCTGGCTAGCAACAGATGACTCAAGAATTAATTAGAGCCAGCAGAGAGGGATAGGAAATTGCCAGATCCTGGCTCCACTCCTGGCCCCCTCCCCTTGGGCCTCAGACCTTCCTGTCGCTCTGGGAGGCCTCTGAAGGGAGGGAAGCCGAGAGGGGCCAGGAGGCCCCAGGAAATCTTCCTGCTGCTGTGTTTTCCATGGGCATTTCCCTCAGCTCTATCCCACCCTTTCATGCTCTCGGTAAGGCTGGGGGAGGTCGTTAACCTCTTTGGGACTTAGCTTCCTCATCTGTAAAATGGGGCTCATGGGGCCAACGAGAATACATGATCCCATTGTCACCATGCTCTTATATTGTGAGCTCCCAAGCAGGCTGCCCCTGCTAAGAGGGTCTGGAGTAGAGTCCCGGCACCCTGGGAGAGTGCCGGGCTTGGTGGCTCGGTGGCCAGAGCCCAGTGACACAGGCTCTCTTGAGCTGTGTGCCAATTCCCGTTTCTTGTCAGTGACACATTAGTAGCTTGAAATTGGCTATCCTGGGAGCATTTACACCATGAAAGTCTGACAAAGGCCACAAGTTAGGGTGCCCCCACCCCCTGGGCTGATTTGCCCACCTATGGCTGGGAAGCTCCCAACCGTCCTGCAGAATAGCTCCAGTAGGAGGCTGTTCAGCCTTCTTCCTGCCCTGTCTGTCCCCGGTGCCTTGGGCTCCGCTGATGTTCTCTGCTTGGGGTTACAGATGCCCAGGCTGCCTGTGGGACCAGGCCAGCCTCACCCCAGGATGAGGTGGCAGCAGCTGGAAGAGCCCGCAGGAATGCTGTAGGAAGGGCAGATGCAGAGCCAGATGTGCAAAGAGGCAGCCTTTTAGGACCCAGCTGTCAGGGGCATTAGCTCCTTGCAGGACTGATGTGGGCAGGAGGATCTGCTGCACCCAGTGAGATTGGGAGGGCACCACAGGCATGGTGTACAGCAGGCAGGTGGCTTCAGTGTCGTCAGGCAGAGTGTTGGTACCGGGTGCCGTTCACCATGGGAGCCCATAGCGCAGAAGGTGGTTGGGAGGCCCTGAGGACTGGGGGTTTGCAGGCAGGTACCCGGGGCTGCCAGGAGAGCCTCACCAAACAGAGGGCTGGGTTAGGCCCCTCGAAAAGGCCTTTCCAATCCAGGCATCCTGGCTCATGGAGTCAGCCTGGCGTCCAGGACAGGTGCTGGTGGTGTGACCCCATCAGCAGGGCTTTGGGTGGTGGGATAGGGCAGCCCGGCCTCAGCTCCACAGAAATGTGATACATATTTGGGTCAAGTGGACCACTGGTGGTCCTACGTCATCTTTCCCCAGGAAGGGCCTTCTGAATCTGGACAAAGGTCTGGGGCCAAGTCAGGCCTCTAGCCTGGGCTGGTCAGATTGGCAGGGGCTGTGGCGCCTCTCAATGCAAATTCCCCTGGAGAGACCATAAGTCCAGGTCAGACGGGTGGCAGGTAATGGTGAGGAGGCTAAAGGGCAGACAGCTCACAGGTAGCGGGAGGCAGGGTCCCTGAGGCTTACTGGGCCTGACCAGACCCCACTGGGCAGTGGCCTGCTGCCTCTACTGCTGGGCCTGGGAGGCCCCTAGGTGGCAGGCAGTCTTGGGCCTGTCACTTCCCTTCTGCCGAGTGAAAACTAGAGCCCGGACACATAGCTTCTGCAGTTGGAGGGGGGGTCCCTGGTTGCTGCTTTGGGCTCTAGGCCAGGGACACTGGGGCCAGGGATAGTACTGGGAGACTTGGTCTGGCCCTCCTCTGCCAGTGACATGCTTCATGAGCAGTTGGCTGGCAGGTACCCTGTGTATACCGGGGGCTTGCGATTCATTCACGGTCCCTGCGTAGTGGGCCCCTGCCGGGCCTGGGAGAAGCCCATGGGGTCTGCCCTAGGCTGTGGGAACCCCTCCACTTTTCGGGGACTGTCCTGTTTCCTGGTGTTGGGTCCTCCATTGGAGCCTCCTGGTGGGCACAGGGCATAGCCCTCAGGTGTAGTTCCAGCCGCCTGAGGCATACTGGAGTTAGAAGGAGACTTGTGTTCCTCTTTTGCAGCCCTCTGCCACCTCCTGGATGGGGTGGGAGGAGCCTAGCCCTTGGAACATGGCAAGGGACCATGAGTCACCTTCCCCCAAGGTTACCAGTCCTGCTCTATCCCTTGTGTCCTGCAGGAGTGAGGGAGGACACACTTTCCTGAGCCCACGTGTGGGCAGCTGCAAGGCAACTTCAGGCCTCTTGTCCCCATGCAGGCAGCAGCTACTGCCCGTGGGCACCTGGGGCCCCGTGAGGGCTCAGGACCGGGGGAGGGGGTGGGTGTGGCATGAGGGGACACCGTGAGGCAGCACCTGTGAGTGTGACAGGTGGGGGCAGCAGCAGTGGGGAGAGGCCCCCAGGCTAGGAGTGGGAGATGGAGACCATTTCACAAGCTCAATGGAACCCTGGGGGTTTGGGCTGGGGGAGCCCAAGACCTCGACTTCTGCTTGTGCTTCTGCGGGGTGTCATTCCTTACATTTCTATGATGTTTTGACTCTTGGGGGAGCCCTTTCAGATCTATTTATTTCCTTCTCATGGAATCACGAGTGAGAGCTGCAGCGGTCCCCAGAGGCTATCTGGGGTCCGATCTCCTCACGGTATCAATGAGGAAACGGAGGCCTAGAAAAGAAAAAACCATCCTTGCCTGCAGTTCCCCAGCAAGTCCTGGCTGAGCACCCTGCTTTCTGCCCAGCACCACACTAAACTTAGCCTATGCTGGCATCAGCCAGGCAGAGGAGCAGGTTAGGGAGCAGGCGTGGGAGGAGGGAGGGGAGGCCACCCCCCACCCCGCCCAGACGTGCCATCAGCTGGCAGGGGTTGCTGAGGGGCGGGCCCCCTCTGTGCCTGCTCCTCCACACTGTGCAGCGTCACCAGCAAGGGCCTGGGGGCTCACCTGCCGGCAGTGGGAGACAGGACCAGATGGGCCACCCAGGTCCTTCCAGATCAGAGCTCTAGATGTCTCTGGGCCTCTCCTTAACCTAGCGGCGTAGGTAGGTCCTGGTGGTTCCCAGGGAGAGCTCTTGGGGGACGGAGAGGACTGAGGCTGGCCGAGAGAGAAGGTAGGTGGGCCTGGGACAGCCGAGGAGTGAGGGGGCCTTTCTGGAAGGGTCCTGGGGGTGGCAGTGAGCTCAGGGACCCAGGAGACTGAGGGCTGCCACAAAAGGCTTGGGAAGCTGAGCATGGGGGGCAACACGAGTGACTTAACTTTGAAAAGATTCCTGTCTCCCCTAGAAAACACAAGGGCCGAGGCTGATGGCCAGCCCCGTGTCCAGGGTGGGAGGGGCGGGGCACAGTGGGTTGTCCTCAGGCTGATGCCTGGCCTGCGGGGAGGGCACTGGTGAGTGGGACTGATGGCCGCTCCCGGGAATCTTCAGCTTTGCCCCCGCTTTGCGGTCCAGCTCCTCACCAGGCTTCTCCCTTGGCAGGTGCCTTGGGGACTACGAAGCCGAGCTGAGCCAAGATGCCGCCAGGGCCCCTGAAAAGGGCCCAGTTTCTGGAGACTCAGAGTGGGCTGTGAAAAACCCCTTGGGGAGCCCCCCTCCCAGGCAGGGAGGCTCTTGGCTCCTGTGAAGAAGGGGCTCAGGGGCCTGGGCAGGGCCAGCTGCACTGCAGCTATGGACCGTGAGCTGGCCTGGCCCGCGTCCTTGCTGACCCTGCCTGTCTGCAGCCATGTCCACCATGGGCTCCTGGGTGTACATCATGGTGGAGCTGGCCATTGCCGTGCTGGCCATCCTGGGCAACGTGCTGGTGTGCTGGGCCGTGTGGCTGAACAGCAACCTGCAGAACGTCACGAACTACTTTGTGGTGTCCCTGGCGGCAGCCGACATTGCTGTGGGAGTCCTCGCTATCCCCTTCGCCATCACCATCAGCACAGGGTTCTGTGCTGCCTGCCACAACTGTCTCTTCTTCGCCTGCTTTGTCCTGGTCCTCACGCAGAGCTCCATCTTCAGCCTCCTGGCCATCGCCATTGACCGCTACATCGCCATCCGCATCCCACTCCGGTGAGCTGGGGGCTGGGCGCGGTGGGTTGCCCCTGTTCTCTTCCTTGGCACGCCTCATGCCGGGGTTCACACCTGTGAAAAGGCTGCCTGTGCCAAGGTCTGCTCTGTGCCCAGCCAGGGTCAGGGTGAACCTGGAGTCAGGGTTTGGTCTTTGATGTCTGTGTGTTTGAGCTGAGGGACAGCTCCATGGGGGCTCCGTCTGGGGCTGCCCAGGGCCTGGCACACGGCCAGCAGTTGTGCCAATCCAGTTGATCCTGTGGGCACCGGGCACCCTGGCCCTCCCCAGTCTTCCCCAGGCTGTGGGGTTGAGGCTGCTGCTTTGGCTGTTGGCAGATGTATGTGGCCCGGGCCTGAGCGGTGCATCTGGGCCATTTTCTCACACAGCATGATGCTGGGGTGGGGTGGGGCATCATGGGAAACCACAGGCCCTCAGAGCTAGAAGCCCGCCCGCCTGCCGGCCTCCAGCTCCTCTGGGCCAGCCGCAGTTTGCACATTAGGAAAATGACCCAGAGAGGGGAAGTGACTTGGCTGAATGCCACAGTGAGTCACTTGGACCAATATGCAAATTTTGTGCTCCTCAGGTCAACAAGTACTCATGGTCTTGGAGAGAGCTGTGGGCTCAGCTAGTGGAGGGGGTTTTCATGGTGAATCTTGTGTGAAGTGACTTCAGCCCTGGATTGTGTAAATGAAGACTTTCCCTGAGGCTGAGTTCCTTTAATGTGGCCTCCACCTACCTGGCCCTGAGGGAAGCTAGGAAGTACCTCCCTCCCCCAGAGTGTGTGTGCGAGAGGGGAGGGGACCTCCTGTTCCACCTCCTTGACCCTACGTCTGGGAGCTGGGTTCCACAGCCTGGGTGGCTGCAGACCCTGAGGGAGGTCTCAAAGGACCAGGGTACCTGGCCCTGTGGGGAATTCTCCCAAACAGGTGAAGCGCCTACCTGTGGAGCAGGCCTCAGCAGCCCCGTGCTGGCCAAGCGCACCCCAGCTGGGAAGAGGAGCAGTTTCAGTGAGAATGGAAATTTAGAGTATCAAACCCAAGGGGGCCCTTAGAGGTCATTTCCTCTCATCTTCTGGATGGTAAAATGAGACTCAGAGAAGGGAGCCAGCCCTCAGGGCCTACACAACGAGTTGGCTGCACAGTTGGGCCTAGGAAGAAATGTGGCCTGTCACCCACTGCAAGACTCCAGTCTTTGGGGAACAGGGTCACAGGGTGGCCCCGGGCTCCCAGACCTGCAGTAGGTGGCCACTCCTGTCACGTGGGTTCAAAGCGGGAAGCAGGCACCCTCCTCATGCTGGTCAAAGGAAGGGAAGAGCCTGGGCCCCGTGTAGCCCTGTGGGGTGCTCTGGTCTCAGAAGAGCTTAGGACTCTTGTCAAAGAGGAGACTCTGGCCAGCCTTAATATTAGAGGACTGGCCTCATAGTGCAGAGTCCAGGCTCATTGAGGGACAGCTCAGAACACAGGATCCCAGGTAGACTAAAGAGAATCGGTGCCTACTTTAGGCCAGGCTGAGCATGAGCTGGGCCTGGGCCAGCCCTGGTGGACACATTGAGTAGGGAAGCAGAGACCTCGCTTTCATTTCCTTTCCTGATTCAAAGGGCAACAGTAGTCTAGGGAGACATCGGGGCTCAACTGAAAGGATCTCAGCTTCTTTTTCTCATCCCTCTGTATTCTGAGAGTCAAGAGTGTGATTCCTGGTGTAGGAGTATGGGACATGCTGTGTGACCATAAAAAGTCAGCTGCTGCTCTCTGGGCCCATTTCCTCATCTGTAAAAGGGGACAGGCCTCTCTGTCCTGCTGAGCTCACAAAGGTTTTGTAAGGGGTCCAGTGAGCGGATGGGCGTGATGGGACCCGGAGGAGGGAGGGTTGGTGGGATGGAGCAGATGGGGATTCAGCTCTTTCTTGAGCTACTGGAGTTTCAGAGCTGGGTCCCTAAATGGAGCCTGGCCCTGCCCTGCCCCATCTGTATCCCCAGTTCCCACGATCTTCCAGAGCAGGACCTAGTTCTGCCCAGACCCTGGCCGTTTGAGCAATGCTTGTTAAAGCTTTGGAAGGGTCAGCCTGGATCTCTTGGATTTGGGAGTTGTAGGGATGACCATGCTCATCCTCCCCGTCAGGCAGAGAGCCTCGAAGTTGCCAGAGGACGTCAGCGCAGTTTCTCCTTTGATCCTCACAGCCTGGCCTTGCGGCCAGGGCGGATGTTATGACCCTGGTGTTACTCATGGGGAGGCCAGAGCAGGAGAAGGAAAAGTGTCTGCTGACTCGGGGACCTCCAGGGCCCTTCGTGAAGTTCCAGGCTTCCTTGGGTCCCTCCACTTCCTTATTCCTCAAGGGCCCTGGGCCAGGGAGGGCGAGGTGCATGAAGGTGCAAGGGGGAACGAGGTGAAAGCAAATGAGAACCTGGAGCTCCTGGCAGCTCTGGAGCCACTGCCTGACCCAGGCTGCCCGCTCCTGCCTGTCCCCGTGTCCCCTGCCAGCTGGGAATCTCCCCTCCTCTGCATGCTGTCCCCTGCTCCCCTCAGTAGGTGCGTTTGGCTGCTCTGAAGGGCGCATCCCCTGACTGCTGCCCTGCACGTCTAGCCCCAGGCCTGCGTCACCCACCCTTCAGTTCTCTCTCTCTTTCTTCTTTCCCTTCCTTCCTTCCCTTCTTCCTTCCTTTTTTTCTTGTCCTTTCCTTTCCTTTCTCCCCCTTTCTTTTTTTAGACTTTTTATTTATTTGAGAGAGAGAGCACAATCCAGGGAGGGGGGCAAAGGGAGGGGCAGAGGGAGAAGCAGACTCCCCACTGAGCAGGGAGCCCAACGTGGGGCTCAATCCTGGGACCCCAAGATCATGACCTGAGCTGAAGTCAGACGCTTAACCAACTGAGCCACCCAGGTGCCCCTCTGTCTTTCTTAGGAGAATTTAGTATCAGAAAAATCTGTGCTCCTTCCCAAGTGCAGGGACCCTGGTGGGCTACATACGGCAGGGCTTAGTGAGAAGTGGCCTGGCCAGAGGCAGAGGTGGGAGCTCTTGTAATCCCCAAAGGACGGAAAGCCTAGGGTGAGAGACTTTATTTTTGTGCCCCTTGTCTCCTGTCTCTCACATTAGCCCCTGGTGAGTGCTCACTCTCCTTGGGAAACAGGCCACATATGGAGCAGCAGTTGGTGCAAAGACCTGAGGTGTACATGGTGAATCACCCCATGGGGATAAAAACCAAGTACCTGGCTTCTGAGGAGGGCAGGACTGGGGGAGAGGGCTCCCTGGAGGAGGTGATTCTGGCTGGGTGTTACAGGATGGGTATGTGTGGGGGCAGGTGTAACAGGAGTGAGCCAAGCCTGGACAAAGGCCCCAAGGAAGGAATGAATATGTGGGCTCTGGGTCAGGGAGAGGTGACAGACAGAACAGGAGGGCAGGGAGGGTGTGAGGCTGCCTCAGGCCTGTGTATGCCCAGGAGAGAGTTTGGGTTTCACTCATGGGTCAGTGGCTCTTCAGTTCTCAGATCACTGACTCCTTCAGACAATTTAGGAAAGAAGGCTCCACCTTCTCTCAGTGTAGGGAAAATGCCCAAGAAGCCCCAGCTGGAGTTGTGGGTGGTATTCCTGGATCATAGAGTGAGCCCCCAACATGGATAATGGGGAGTCCCCAGGAAGGGGCAGCCTGTGAGCTGGAAGACGCAGGGATGCCGAGGTACCTCCAAATACCTCCAAACCTGGTGAGCAGGCTCTGGCACCTGCTCCCTGTGATGCCTCTGGGCTCCCCTGAATGGCAGAGTGTTGTGCTGGGTGCCTTTGGCACCACTTACACTAGACGGTCTGTGTCTGGGGCCCAGGAGGCCAAAATGTGACTACCATCAGTCACAGGTGCAGCCCAGGGGATGCCCCTGGGCCAGGCTGTGGCTTGGCTATTATTCCATTTGGGCCCTAATGCTGTTCCAGTTCCCCAGGGGCCTGGGTCCAGGGCTCTCAGCCTAAGGACTTTTCTTCTGAATAACAAAATTAATCTGTTTGATATTTGTGTGTGTGTGTGTGTGTGTGTATTTAAATAAATTATTACCTGCACATGCTAAAACATCAAAAAGGAACAACAGGTATATGGTGAAAAACTGTCCCTTTTGTCCCCTGCCCTACCTTCAGTTCTCTTCCTGGAAGTCAGCATTGGGAAACCTATCAGAGATATTCTTTGCATGCACAGGCAAGTGCTATTAACGTGTGTTTGTTTCTGTCCCCACAAGGGCTTTCATTTTAAAATGCAGTGCCAGACTTCCCCTCATGGGTTTCCTTGTCTGTAAAAGCAGACAGTTGAACAGACCAGGGATTTTCAAACTGTCCTGGAAGCCTTTGGGCTGGGCTCTGGTGTCCCCACCAACTCATTCATTCAGTGAATATCAAGCTGCCTCCCTTCCTCACCACCCTACCTCTGTGGTTGCCTGGGAATGTGAGCAAGAAGGTCGGCTGCCGGAGGACAATTTGGAAATCCCCAAAGCAGGTGGTCTCCAGGGTCCTCTACACCATCCCTATAACTGCTTGCTTCTGCTTGCTTGCCTCAAATGACAGGAAGCTCACTTTCCCTGAAGCAGCCCATTTCTTGTGTGCACAGCTCAGCTGAGAAGTTCTTACTTGCCCTCACTCACAATCCACCTCCCTGTAATCTCCACCCACAGATTTTACATTCTGCCCTCATGGGACAGTGCTCACAGGCCCTGGATTTTTAGTCCCATTTTACAAATGAGGAAACTAAGGCTCAGAGATGCAGAGTGACAGAACATGGCCAAACCAGGAACACATCGGCGCTGGAACTCAGGGAGGGATACACTTTTCTCAGGAAAAATACCAACATTAAAATAGCCTCCTAGTCAATGAGATTACATAAATTATAATTTATAGAGTACTAAAAACTGCCTGGCACATGGCAAGTGCTGTGTAAGTATTAAGTGGTGGTGGTGGGGGGAAGCCTGAGACTTTGTGTTTGAGACTCCAGAATAAGAAACAGGGCAGCGTAGGCTCTCTGTGGCTTGGTGGAAATGGTCAAGTTCATGACCCTCTTCCTGCCCAGCCCTGTTGCAGGCACCCAAGCCCCTGCTAAATGGGGTTGAGGGCTCCTGGGGGTGGCCCTGCCCAGTTACTGTTTGGATTCAAAGCTGACATAGATTCAGAACTGACACACTTACCTCGGCACAGGGTGCTCGGGGCTCCTAAAATGTCCATGGCAAATCCATTCCTCTCCTTAGGCTTCAGTTTTCCCATCTATAAAACGAGATGGTTGGATTAGATAAGAGGTCAGAGGCCACCAGATATTTTTTTTCCCTTAATTTGAATTTGTTGACAAAATGTAAACCATGGGCAATCTTACCCAGAGAATCAGCTCCTCGGCCCCTTCTGAGATCTGGCGGCACCAGAAGCACATTCTGCATGGGCGGCCAGGGGCTGAGCGGCGTAAGCCGTCTCTTGCACACACAGTAAATGTCCTGCCAGCCTGCCTCACACAATTCTTACTTGTAGGCCCATGTTTGCCATCCATGGACTAGATAGTTTCTGTGGACGCTTCCCATTCTGGAATTAAGTAAAGGACATCTACTGTGTGTCCCTGTCTCAATGCTGGTGATGCAGAGATGGATGCAGAAAAACCCTGCCCCCAAGGGGCCCCTGGCCTCAGGGGTCCAAATGGAGTAGAGATTAGCTGCCCCTGGGTAGGAAACTTCTCAGGGAAGATATCTAGCCTGAATGAGAAGGATGGGTAGGGTTTACCAGGTGAAGGGGAGGGCAGTCTGGTGTTGCCAGAATCAAAACCATTAAACAGATGGTCATCCCTCAGAGATCACTGAGGTCACCTTCTTCAGTCAGGGAGATGATTTTTTGATTGCCCATTCTCTCTCTCTCTCTCTCTCTTTTTTTTTTTTTGGAGAGAGAGCGAGTGTGCATGTGCAGGTGTGCATGGGGGGGATGAGGGGGGAGAGGGAGAGAGAAAATCTTAAGCAGGCTCCCTGCCCAACACAGAGGCAAACGCAGGGGCTCACGACCCTGAGATCATGACCTGAGCCGAAATCAAGAGTCAGGCACCCAACTGACTGAGCCACCCAGGTGCCCCAGACTGCCCATTCTTTAATAAAATCTATGCCACCTTTTCTGTGGGCCTGGGATCAACTTCCTGGCTGGCAGATCAGGTCAACACTGTGAGTTTGGGACTGAGTCTGGCTCTCTAGAGTCCTGAGTGATTTCAGGCAGATTATTTTTCCTCTCTGGACCTCAGTACCTCATGTAGTTCTTTCCTCTTGAATGTTAAGACGTACTGATATCGTGTCTCTCCAGAGGGCTGTGAGCGAATTTGGAAGGAAGAGAGGGTCTATTGCCCAGGACCTCCACCTCTCCTTGGGGGCTTCTGGAGACCTTCAGTTAAGTGGGGAAGGAAGAGCATGGAGTACAAGAGACATGACTCATCTACAATCTCATCTGGCAGGTTCTGCCCCCCGCCATTGAGTTTGCACTCCTGACCCATTCCCACTCTAAGGGGAAACTTATTCTAGCATCAACTAAGATCAACATGGAGGTGATAAGTTCTCTCACTTATAAATTCCCTCAAACTGAACTAATTGAGTCCCAGGACTACTTGTAATACTATATAGTAATCATCTGAATGTCTATGCAATGGCTTCCTTGCCAGGGAGCCTGCTCTCCTGTTAGCTCCTGTGGGAAAAGGCAGGGCTTGGACCTGCAGTGAACAGAGGAGGATACTGAGGCTAGGAGGCAGGAAGTGACCGGTCCAAGACCTTTGAGCCGATGGGTGGGGGACGGGGTGCCTCTCTGGGTTTCTGACTCTTGGCCCCGCCCAGCCTTGGTTTTTCAGACCTCTGATGCTGGTCTCCTTTCCCCAGGTACAATGGCTTGGTGACTGGCACAAGGGCCAAGGGCATCATTGCAGTCTGCTGGGTGCTGTCATTTGCCATCGGCTTGACTCCCATGCTGGGCTGGAACAACTGCGGTCAGCCACAGGGGGGCCAAAACCGCTCACAGGCCTGCGGGGAGGGCCAGGTGGCCTGTCTCTTTGAGGACGTAGTCCCCATGAACTACATGGTGTACTACAACTTCTTTGCCTGTGTCCTGGTGCCCCTGCTGCTCATGCTGGGCGTCTACTTGAGGATCTTCCTGGCGGCTCGGCGACAGCTGAAGCAGATGGAGAGCCAGCCTCTGCCGGGGGAGCGGGCTCGGTCCACGCTGCAGAAAGAGGTCCACGCTGCCAAGTCGCTGGCCATCATTGTGGGGCTCTTCGCCCTCTGCTGGCTGCCCCTGCACATCATCAACTGCTTTACTTTCTTCTGCCCAGAGTGTAACCATGCCCCACTCTGGCTCATGTACCTGACCATCGTCCTCTCCCACACCAATTCTGTTGTGAACCCCTTCATCTATGCCTACCGCATCCGTGAGTTCCGCCAGACCTTCCGCAAGATCATCCGCAGCCACATCCTGAGGCGGCGGGAGCCCTTCAAGGCAGGGGGCACCAGTGCCCGGGCCTTGGCAGCTCATGGCAGTGATGGAGAGCAGATCAGCCTCCGCCTCAATGGCCATACTCCTGGGGTGTGGGCCAATGGCAGTGCCCCTCATCCTGAGCGGCGGCCCAATGGCTACACCCTGGGGCTGGTGAGTGGAGGGAGTGCCCATGAGTCCCATGGGGACATGAGCCTCCCAGATGTGGAGCTCCTCAGCCATGAGCACAAGGGAGCATGCCCAGAGTCCCCTGGCCTCGAGGGTCCCCTGGCCCAGGATGGAGCAGGAGTGTCCTGATGATCCACTGAATTTGCCCCTTCCTACAGGAAGGAAATCTTTCTCTTTGGTGGATAGAGCCAGTCACGTTGGGAAAAGAGTGAATGTGCCTGGAGGCCCTTTTCATGGCCAGTTCCCACTTTGGACTGAGAGGAGGGAGCCCTGGCTGGAGCAGCATGAGGCCCAGTAGGAAGGGTTTGGAGTCCGAGGAAGTGGACGTTTCATGTTGGGAGGCCCTGCATCAGGTCAAGACCACAGCACCAGAGCATCTTGGCTGGGCAGGGCCTGGTTCCCCACTCTGGAAGCATCTAGAAGTACCACCCTGACTTGGCAGAACAGCTGTGGCAGAGCAGGCTGGCTGGCCCTGAGGCTGGGGGGCAGGGAGGGTGGCTCCAGCAGGCCCTCTACCACACACACAGACCACCCTCCCCAGACTTTCCAAGGGTTCAGGAGCTGCTGTGCCCAGAGGTGGCGTTTTTCTTTTCCTTTTTTTTTTTTCCCAGGAGAAAATGTTAAGTGTGAAGAATACTTTTTTTTTTTAATTATCTTCCTTCCCTGGTTGCTGGCTCTGTTGTCAGTCCTGCTGCTCACCCTGCTCCAGGGGTCAGCCCAGGGAGCCCCAGGCAGCACTCTCTGGCTACCATGAGCTGCCACGCACTTCTTACACTATCAGTCCCAGGGCCATCTTTGGGGGCCACAAAGCTGGGCTCAAGGATGGGGAGTTGTAATGGAGTGCTGCCTGACTGTGGGCTCAGGGGAGGAAGTGGGGACTGGCCCACCATGCGGTGTGCCTGGGTAGCTCAGAGCTGCCCAGTCAGAGGCCCTATCTGCCTTTCCTTCTGAAGGGAATGTTTTTTTCTGAGATAAAATAAAAATGAGCCATGTTGTGTTTTAAGCTTGTCCAATGAGAATGGCGTCTGAGTTCCTTTCCCCATTCCATAGCCATGCCTGGCACACATACATATGGGGTGCATATTGCATGTGTGAGAAAGTGTGTGCATTTGTGCATAGAGAACAGACAGACACCCTGCCTGACTGGGGGTGCCTCACAGGCTCCCATCTTCTGAGGGAAAAGGCTGCCTGGATGCACCAGAATCTAAATGCCCCTGAGCAGCCCCCAGACCTGTGTTCCTGTGAGACGAGGGGTTGTAGGAAGAGGGGCTCTTCCCAGCTGCTCTCCCTCCAGAGGCCATGACGCCTCTAGCCCTAGACGTTTCCTCAGTGTGGAGTGTGGCTCCTCCCTCCCTCTTTGCTTCCTAGAGTCCTGAGAGGAGTGGCCTACTCTCCCCATGCCCTGCTCCACCCCTTAGCTGAGAGGCCACAGAGGGATGTGGAAAGCAATACAGGCGAGGATTCAACTGCCTTCCCCTTCCCCTGGAGTCACCCCACCTCTTGCTCCCAACAAAGAAACCTATATGGTTTCCTGCTCTGAAGCCTGCCCCTGGGGCTGTGTCATCCTTCCATGCTGGACAAGTTTGAGGCCCAGGGGGAAGTTAGCAATCTGCTGCGGCCGGAGGGCCAGACTGGCCTCAAGTCTCATAAGCACACCTTCAGGCAGGGAGGGGGAAGGGGTGTTAGAACTTCACAGGTAATCCTCACACAGCCCTGGGAGCCCCATTTCACAGCTGACCGAACAACCTCTTTTGAACAGAGAGGTTAAGTACTTGCCCCAGGTCACATAGCTAGTAAGTGGCAGAAATAAACCTAAAACCCCGGTCTGACTACAAAATCCATGCTCTTGTGATAAACTATTTCAACCAAACCAAAAAGTATGAGATAATACCAGGTCCCCACCACTCTGCTCAATAAATGAAACATTACAACTATAGTGGAAGCATCTGACTCCTTCCCATATTATTACCCTGCTTCCTACACCTGGAAACGACCACTTTCTGAGGATTTCATTTGGTTCCACTGCACATCTTTGTACCTTTACTACAGGGATGCATATGTACTTCTAAGCCAACACAGATTTGCTTTAGGCTCTATTTTACTGTTACGTCAATCAGAGGTCCTCTAGGCTGGCTGCACGGAAGAAACACTTAAGGTACCTTGAAAAGCACCAAAGCCTAACCCCCTCCCCCAGAGTTCCCCGGGGGTTCTTATGGACAGCCATGAGATAAATGCACAAGCCCATCCCTGTCCACACCAGCTCCCTCCTCTCTCCTACACACTTTGGTCTGTGCTGACTATGGGCTTAGGGTAGAGCAGTGCCTGGGTTGTTTCTAAGGAGGCCAAGAGTATGGATGCTGTTGGTCCTCATGACCAGTTGGTGGGAAGAGGCCAGAAAGAGAACCACAAGGGTAGAGAAGGAAAACATTGTCTCTCCTATCTTTACTGAGGCTTCTTATGTACTGAGCTTTGGGTACTGAGTATATGGGTGTAGGCTTTGGGGCTAGGGAGGGACAGGACCGAGGGCTCAGGAAAGGCTCCCAGGTGCTACCGATCCCCGAGTGCTCTTAGGGACAGCCCGTAGCCTGGCTCCAGAGCCCAGACAATTCTACCTCCTCAGGTCCCCATGGCGCCCAGTATCCTACCTCCATACCCGCCCCCCATGCAGGCTCCCACTGTGAGTCATGCCTAGAGTATAAGAGCACACGCACAGAAATAAACAGATGCATGTGTCACTCTCTGACCATAAGAGAATACACGTGTGCACACGCGAACATACACACAGGCAAAGCCTACTTCAACAGAAGTAGGTGCCCACAGTAGCAGCATAAAGTCGATGTGAAGCCTGGCCCAGCCCTATGGAGTGCAGACGCGTCTGCCCCAGGCCAGGCTGCCAGGGGTACTACCAGGGCCGCTCTGAGCCCTACAGCTCTGTCCAAGGGCCCTCTGCCTTCTCCATGCTCTGCCCAAAGGGCTAAGAGTGGACAGCATGCCTCATTCAGACCTGTCCTGAGCACAAGGGTCCCATCACAGAACCTATTCTGGTGATGGCCCGAGCCCCTCTCCATGGCAGCAATGGCCAGGGCCCCCAGGGAGCCTATGGGCAGAAGCCTGGTTCAGCCTGTGTCTGGTTCATCATCACTGGCCCTCATGAGAGGCAGGCCCTCTGGAAGCTTCCCCTTTCCCTCCTCCACTTGAAACCCTTCCTTTGCGGCTCTCCCCACTTGTATTAAAATCCTTTCCTCTAGGAGACCTCACACAAAATGCTCTGGGCTCCAGAGAACCACTTGGGAAGTGACGTAGAGCCTCAGTTCCATATATGCAGGCAAGGGGCAAGCTCTAGTGACAAACCACAGCAGAGCAGGGATGAGGGACAGCCTGGAGAGTAAGAGGAAATGAGTGATGATGCCCCCTGGATCTACCAGAGCTGGGACCATGGTCTTCTTTTCAACTGTGGTTGGAAAACAGGAGCTGGCAGGTCTCAGAAGCCAGGTGCCTGGAGAGAGGGAATGGTTCTGTGCAATTTGCCCCCATGCTTGGGGCTAAAGGAATGGTGTCAGTGTGGCATTCTGTGCCTAGAATGCAGCTCCTATCCTGTTGTGCCATATAACAGCTGGTGTGGCTGCTCCCGTGGGCAAACCCCCAAGAGCCTGTGCTGGGCCCAAGTGCTGCCTGAGCCTGGCAACAGCCCTCTGAGGTGGAAGGGGTTACGTAGGTGTTGGCAGGAACTGAGGTCGGCTATGGGACAACCAGTCCCTCTCAGGTCTTTATTTACTCTGAAAAGTGGATGGTGCTCTATAAGAGTGTCAGATTATCACCTCTCCCCGCCCCCTCACTCCAACCCCTCCTCTGTCCCTAGGCACCCCTCACTACAGCTGTCACTCATCATTAGCTGTGACTGTCAGGGTTGGAACAGCCCCTGTCAGGCTGCAGAGCCAGGAGGGGGCAGGAGAACGTCAGATGACTCAGACAACCTCAAAGGACAAGGATAGGCATGCAGAACCTAGAGCCTAGGTACAGGAGGCACCATTCTAGATGCTCTGCCCTGACCCTTTCCTCTGCCAGAGGAGAAAGAGCAGCTCAGCAGAGCTTTCCCACAAGCCCCCCTGCCCTCCCACTAGTCAGGCTTAGAGAAGGGCTGGATGCAGAGAGAGGCCAGGCTGAGGGTATCGGCATGGGGCTGGGCAGGCGACCGGTGAGACAGACCCAGTGTTCTCTGACAGAAGGACTTTTTCCCTGCCAGTGGAAAAGGCTTTGCATGGAACCACCCACAATTCTTTGCTTTGCCCAAGGGAAGTGTCTGTGTGTATGTGTGATTTTGCAGAATTAGCCATCAGACTAGCACCTGATGACCAGCTAACTTCTCAGCAAGGGCTTGGATAGGACAGAGCAGGCTAGAACTTGAGCTCCATCTCCTGACTCTGTTCCGCTCTCAACAACTTAATGAGCACCTATTGATGAATGCTAAGCCTGGAGGGGGGTCAGCAGGGGTGCACAGGGAGCCACCAACCAACTAAGGAAACTAAGCTAGATGCAGCCTGTCAGGGTGGCCAGAGGTGAGGGCCATGAGTGGGACACAAGTGCTGGAGGTTTAGAGGAGGAACAAGTTGCATACAACTGGGCAATCAGGAGGCTGAAGTTGAGTTAGCCTTTTAAAGGCCAGTGGTCAACTCCAGGGCCCGTATCTTCAAGGTGTGCAGTAGGAGGTAAGAACAAGAAGCAGCTGAGTAAATGTGCGCCTGATTTACATCTGCCTACACAGAGGCAATTTTCAAGTTAAAATGTTGTCAGAGGGTTGTCACAGTTTTGATCTTTCCTTTCTGTTCTCAATCCACCCACATTTTCTAGTTGGGTTGGAAAGGGGAGTGAGGGGGACAGAGCCTGGTTTAGATTCCGAGATTTTTGGAATTGTTAAAGTTAAACAGGACTTTTTAAAATGATCTAGTTTTTTCTTAGGAAAATTCAGGCCCAGAGCCCAGCATCACAACTGTTCCATCAGATGCAGAGCCTTCAGGGGAAGTAGAGAGAGCAGGTCAGGAGTTCTGCAGTCATCCCCAGACTATCTCTTGGTGTTGCGGCTTGATTCTCTTTCCTGCATAGTTCGGAGATGTGAAATAATCCCTCTACTCACTCCTTCCAACCACCACCCTGCTCCACTGAACTCTAATGGGGATTCAGCACCAGGCTCTACCCTGGCCTTGCTGTTGACTTCCTCTCTGACTATGGGCAAGTCATTCTCTGAGCTGCCATGCCCACTTTCAGATAGAACATGGCAGTAAATGTGAAAGTGCTTCGGAAGGTAGGTGTGACATAAATGCCCAGGTTATTATTTGTGCTATAACAAAACCATTCTCAGTTCAGAAAACACAAGAAGGCAAGCAATCATAGCTTCAGTGTTCTTGAGACCAGAGTAGAAAGGAGGCCAGAAGGGAAGAAAGATGGAAGAGGGAAAAGGGCTGCTTACCTGGTTTCTATACTCTGTTCACTGACATGGCCCAGCCATCGCCAGATAAAGAAATGTGGTGAGTGTGAATTTAAGCCAGGCATCTGGTGTCTGTAGGGCCCAGGAGGTAGGTGTGGGAACTGGCAGACAACTTAGGCAAGGAGCACTGACTATGGATCATTTGCTATCTTCAGACCTGTCCTGTCCCATATTTTCACTAAAGTCTTGAATCCAGGGGAACTAGGGCTTATCAAAGAGGTGAACAGAGAAGGGGTCTAGTCTGGGCTGACAGAATTCAAAATCACATCAGGGGGCCAGAGAGATAATACTGAACAAAGATCAGTGTAAAGTCCTCCACTGAGTTTGAGAAAGCAAATGTACAGGACGAAGACCAATCATTTCACGTCAAAACAACATGGACATTTCAGCTGCTAAGTTCAGCACAGGCTAGCCCGGTGGGAAATGCCTGAGAGACAGGGGACCATGGCCTCAAGGGGCATCACACCACAGTCCCTAGGGGCCCCAGGCTGAAGGAGCTCACTCCCAGCTCATGGCAGGAGACTCGTGCTATTC